ATGCCGAGCTGGTGAGTGTGCACACACAACCCCTTCCCAAGTTTCAGTCATGTCTCTTCTCCCAAATGCCAGTCTTTTAATAACTCCAGTCAGAAAGTTAAATCAGAAGCTAGACAGAAACATCCTACAAATATTCATGCAGGTGAATACCCTACTGAATTGAGTGAGCTTATTTATACACATAGTAGTAGATAGACTAAGATGGGGTGGGCAATTATTTTGGTTGGAGGGTCACTTAATGAGTTTTGGGGACCTGTTGAGAGCCACATCCATCCCTCTTGCTGTCTCTCTCTTCCCTCTTTCTCCTCTTCTCTCCTCTCTGTCTGTTTCTCTTCTTGTCTCTGTCTCTCTCCTCTTCCTTCCCTCCCTCCAGAACCCAGCCAAAGCTGTAGTTCACCAGGAACCCCAATGCTCAGCTGCAGACCCAGAAAGGAGCTTCTGCTGCGCTGGACTTCTGGTGCGTCAACTGTGGAGGTAGCCAGCAGGTTCTGGAGCTGGCGTGGCAGAAACACCTGCCTGTGTCTACAGTTGGGGCTCTGGGCAAGGGCTTCCATTGTGCCCAGTGCACAGTGGTGTCATCTATGGACACACCAGCAGGTTCTACATCCGGGCTCCTGAACCTGTCAGCAGCATCCACAATTGATGCGGCCGCCCACCCACTGCAGCAGAAGCTGTACCTGGGTCCACAGCTGATGCCGCCATGTCAAGGGCTGATGCTGCCCGTCAGAAGCAGTCCCATCCACCTGACCAGCACCATGCAGCAGCCAGAGCCGCCAGTCAGCCAGATCCAATGAGTTGGTGGCTGTCCACCCACGGGCTGGATCAAATCTATTGGTGGGCCGTATTTTGCCCACCCCTGGACTAAGGCCTAACACAAAAAGTGACTATTTGCAATAGACTATTTACATCTCACATTGCTGTTGTCTCACACAGTATACTCATATTATTTATTTCTATTTACCTTATACACCAAAACATGAATCATTATATTCAAAGGTTAGCGAGAGGAAACAATGGTAGAAGTTAATAAAGATTGTTCTAGTTTTTGGTAGTAACTAGAGAATGCAAAGACTTCAACTGACCGTAGGTTTTAATTCAAAATATTAAAAAAGATGTGAAGACAGAGAATAAACCAAAAGCTGTACTGTACTATAGCAAAACAAAACAGTAAAATGTAAAAAATATATATATTTAAAAAACATTTCAATTGTTTAAGCCAGTGGCTATCAATTGGTAAACTGCAAGGATGCCGTGAATGGAACATAATGGCAGCTGGGTAAACTAACCCTTCAAACACAGCTGTTTCATACATTGCCAGTTGTGGCATAGGAAGCATCAGATTCAGTGCAGTACTGTTGACAGGCTATTTAGCTCTTCAAGTAGGCAAAGCCAGTTAGCCAGATACAATATCATGAAAAAACAGCTGTGTTCCTGCCTGTGCTAGAATAGGTAGTGGGTAAAGTTTGGCTGGACCATAAGGGAGTTAGACTGAAGCTGTGCATGGGATTGGGGAGTAGGAGCTCTGGAGATGATGATGTGAAGCAGTCTCAGGAGAGAGAGGTTGTAGGATCAAAAAAGTGAGACCTTCTCATCCAAGCACATGAGAAAATTTGTATAAATACTTTAAACTAAGTTTGGTCAATATTTTGCCTTACCCAAGAGTGATGTAATAGTAGCTCCACAACAAGAAGCAACTGCTTGCTGAAAAGGGGAAATTGGATATAATCCATTTTCATTCTTTTTGTTAGCCATAATTTTCTTCTGAGAGAAACAAAAGCTGTTAAGAAAAAGAGAGAAGTTTTGAAGACATTCACATTTCCAGAAAAATCATTAGAGGAAGGAGTAACTATAGTTTACCATGAAATGTAAAATAAAATCAGTAACAAAACTGGTGTAAATATTAGTTTTTGTGATTATAAATGTTATCAAGTCGTTATCATTTCAAAGTATTAGAAAATACACTTATTTTCTAGCACATACATAAACTAGAGAAGATCTACTCTATGCTCTTATTTCCCTGAACAGTGGGCTTGATGTTCAACATCTCTCAGTAAACCAGATTGAACAGATATATTATTAGAAATCATAAGCAAACCAAAATCACTGAAACCTGTACCTCTTTGCTAACCCTCATAATGTTGAGCAGAAAGGAGATAAGACAGGCCCTTGCAGACACTGGCAACATTCTTATGGATGTGGCATTGTTCTTGTGAAGGAGAAAATATTACTCCACACTACATCAGGAATGTTTTACAAGGTAAGGATGAAACAACATTTATTTTCACTGTGAACTTTGACACATGACACAGTTACAACACTGTAATTTACACTGGGTACTTGGGAAGCGAACTTTGATTTGCTAATGAAATTCAAAACCACCAAAGAAAATAAGTAAAAGGGGAGCCTTAGATATTCCATGGATGTCCTCACACCATGGATTTTTACAGTGATATAATGATGTCTTCTGTTTTGTTTCCTATTTCCTTCCCAGCAATGACAAACATGTGACTGGCTTTCTTGGTCCCTGCAGGACATTGAGCTGACATTTTTTAAAGCGCTATCTACAATGACTCCAATGTCTTTCTTGGGGCATAAGGGTAATTCAGAGCCCGCTATGAATGTGTAGTTCAGTCTATTTTTCTCTGTGTGTATTAATTTGTACTCATCAACACTGTACTTTATCTGCCAGGATGTAGTTCCTAGTGTTTCAAAATGTTTTTTGAAGATGGGTGTTATTTGTCACGACCCAGTGATTTTTGTGCCTCGGCACTATGGAATTTCCTGGCCACATGAGAGCTCCTTTGCACAGCAGAGTGTTCTGCTGCAATTAAGAGCCTGCGTGCAGGAGAGTTCCCGCCAATTTGCAGTTTCCTTTGCAGGATGCATTTCTTCTTTGCAGCACAGAGATGCACGGTGCAAAGAGTTCCCGCTATTCGGATGCAAATTTGTGCCCCGCTATTGGCCAGTACTAAATTATTCACACGTGGCGGCTAGTAATTGGCTCGCTGGCCGTTTAAAATTCCGCGCGACTTCCGCCCAAGTCGAAGAGCTTTGAGCACCCTGCAGAGTGTCTCTGAAGTTATCTGACTTGCGGCTGCCGATCGATAGACTGATCACCTATCGATCTTTCTTCCCGTC